GGGCAATTTTAGCGTAGAAACCTGTGCCTTCCCAGCTTTAGACCTACTGTATCATCTCATGGTGGTACTAAGGGCAACGTTTCCCACCTTGCTAGCAAACGGGAAAAGAGTGAAGGGAGTTTATCTGGGGTTGCCTTGGAAAGGCTTCAAAAGAAACAGGGAAAGTCCTTTGGTGTCTTGGAAATGAAATGAACCAACAAAAACAACAATCCAAAAAGTAAATAAATAGGGAAAGAAGTAAATAAATACATAATTGCATGTATGTCATACAGCAGAAATCAACAGCACCTTTAGCTTTGAGGGCCAGTGAGATTAAATGATGTCTGGGATACAAATAACATGCGTAAAATCAGTGAGAAGCAGTTAGAAAGGAAAGGAAGAAGGGGAGAAGGGGGAAAGGGAGTGTGAGAGTTGGAGGAGCAGAAAGGGAAAAGTGGAGTGTGCAAAGAAATGAGTATGGTGAGAGAGAGGGAATGTCTGTGACTCATGCACCACATGGACCTCAGAGGCAGACAGTTGCCGTACCGCTCCGATTCGGAAGGCTTCCTGAAGGAAGGAGCCCTGAACTGGGCAGTGAGCCAAGCTGGCAGAGAGCCAACTCTAGAGGAAGACACACAGGGAGAGTTACCTTGGTTGGACTTATCAGGGCAGCAGCTGGGCTGAGGAAGAGCTGGAAGGCCAGGGAGGGATTTAGTCTTTGGAGAAACGGAGCGAGCTGGAAATAGTGTGGGAGGTGGGGTGAGTTAATCAATATTGAAGAACTTAAGGAGTCTGAGATTGATTGGAGGTGATTGAGGGGCCAGCTGTTCCCCTAATTCCAATGCACTTCTGCACCTGAGAATGTGCTTGGCTCAGAAGTGGTCTGATCATTGAGAGACATTGAAGGCTCAAGGCTGGGAAAGGCAGGGGGATCCTTCCTTAAAAAGGACCTTGTTCACATTAGTACTCTGATCTCCGTCAAATGTTTCTCTGCATCTAAGAACTTTTTTTTCTTTTCTTTCTCACATGCCTCTCACTTTGGTCCTACCTTCCTTGCCTCATTTAGCAATGGGTTATCGAATATTTGCTATTTTCCTTGCATTGGGCTACATGTTTTTGGGGAAGAGAGGATGTGTGACACAAGGTCCCTTGTCCTGTAACTGGGGCAGAGCGAACACATATGAAATGAGTGGGGACCTGCAAGGCAGTGTATGATCACCTTACAAGAGGTGTGGCGCCACCTGAAGTGCAGAGGGAATTTAGAAATGGAGAGAGAACTGAAAGTTGAGGCAATCAAGCAAGATTTCCAGAGAAGGTTGATACTTTAATTTACACAGAACAGGTTTCAAAATTTTAGCTCTGGAGATTATAAGCTGTGTGGCCGGTGGGGAAGTCACTTCAATGCTGGACCGCACTTTCTTTATTGGAGCAAGAGAGATAATGAGGCCTACCTTTTAGGATTTTTGGACATATTTAGGTATTAGAGATAGTCTGTGTACAATGCTCAAGAAATAGAGAGTACTCAGGGCAATAGGTATTATTTCAGTCGTCACTATTGACTGGAGGGTGAAAGTTGGGTTTAAATGGGAGAGGGAAATTGAAGGCAGGAGGAAGCACCGTGAGCAAAGCCACAGGGGTGGGATTTAGCAAAACATGTGAGAGGCAATTCCATGGAACTTTAAGAGCTTCTGCTTCCTGAAAATATAGAGATCAATAGCATCAGGGGCTGCCACAAAGTCAAGTTGGATGAAGACTGTAAAGAGGCCATTTGGTTGAAGAGGGCATTGATGACCCTTGAAAAAACAGCTTTAACAAAGGATAGTTGTGGACGCTAGACTGCAGGCAATGCATTTGTCCCCCGTCCCCGCCCCCGCCATCTATGTCTCTCTATCTCTGGATGCCAGCGGCTTCTCGTCTTACCTCTTTGTACTCTGAGGCTTTCTTTTTTTTGTGGGCAGGACATGGAACAAAGGCAGCAGCAAAAACTGAAGATGCAAGCTGAGATTAAGCGCATCAATGATGAAAACCAGAAACAGAAAGCAGAGCTGCTGGCTCAGGAGAAGCTGGCGGACCAGATGGTGATGGAGTTCACCAAGAAGAAGATGGTAGGGACTAGGTTTCTGGGACCTTTGGCTAGGAATGGAATGTCTGTCACAGGGAGAGGAGGGCCGAGAACTGAGGGAACTTCGGTGGAAGGCAGCCGCACCTTCATTCTACGATGCACATCCTTAGTTCAAGGGCCTGGCTTCTTTGTCTCTTCATCTTAGCCAGGCCACTTGTTTATTAACAGAGACAGCCTAGAAAGGACACCCAAATTAGCTTTATCCTCATTAACACCTTTGATTAGAAGTTGGGATGAGGCCCATGTGCAGGCAGAAAAGAAAACTAAAACCATTGGTGAAAGTAGGTTTTTTGTGGATTTGTCACTACTTGCATAATTATACCCCCGGTAATCATGAGTCAGAGGTTACATAAATTTCTTGTGCAAATGCCTATATTGGGCATCCTGTATTGGGTGCTAGACTCAGAAAATAGTCTTCCCCTGTCTCCCACCAAAGAACCTATAAGACAGAGCAAATGCACAGTGGAGGAGAGAACCATACCAACAGACTGTTGCAGATGAATGTAGCTCATGAATGTGTCAGTTCATTCTGGGGCAAAGTTGAGTAATAAAATGATTGGGATCTATGGGGTTTGGAGAGTAGAAGATGGCTTTTAAGAGTGGTTCAGATAAAGTGAACGTGGATTTATATAAAAAGAGGAGGAAGTACTCAAAGTGGCAGGAAAGTTATTAAATTCTTCATGTGTTGGTCTTGTCTGCCCTGCTAGTTTTGAAATTCCATGACAGAAGCACATTATACTTCTCTATGCTCCTCTATAGTAGTGATTTTTAAAGAAGGCCAAGGGGAGGGCGTGAGTATAATTTGAATGGCATATTTGGTATACCTATATGTTCTGAATACAAACCACAGAAAATGAAGCTCAGCTAAGCTCACTTATTGGCTTTAGTATTCTTATTGGATGCTGGGGACACTCTATGCAAGCAATAGAGTGAGAATGCAGGGTTGGGGACATAGATGATTCCTACATAATAACAACCACATAACTATCATTTAGTGAGCACCTAATCTGTGCATGGGCTCTGTGCTAACATGTATTATCTCTTTTAATCTTTACAATAATCCTGTGAAATAGTCATTGATGATTCAAAATATACTGGATCCTTCAATATGTGTCCAGTCAGACTAGGCTGAAAATACCTAGAATAATGCTATACCATTGGAACTCAACCACTATTTTCCCAAGTGGATGAAGGTGGGGATAATGAGCTAATTCTGTGTAGGAGTTAGTGCACATATTTTCTGGCTGCAGCAGAGAGTTTGTAGTGGACATAATAAGAAATGAGGGTGGTGAGATGGAGAGCTAAGAGCAGTTGTTGGGGTGTCTTGGACCTTGAGTGGAACTGGAAGGGTGGAATGATAAGGATCGCCATGAATTTCTAAGCAAGAGAGGAGTATATCTTATCT